GGGGGAGGCGCGGGGGGGTAGAGAGAGAGAGAAAGAGAGAATATCTTAATCAGGTTCCACGCCCAGCATGGAGCCGCATGCAGGGCTCAATCTCCTGACCCTGAGATCATGGCCTGAACTGAAGTCGAGTTAGACGCTTAACCTACTGAGCCACCCAGGTGCCCCCCAAATTTTTTTTTTAAGATTTTATTTATGGGCGCCTGGGTGGCTCAGATGGTTGAGCGTCTGCCTTCGGCTCAGGTCATGATCCCAGGGTCCTGGGATCGAGTCCCGCGTCAGGCTCCCTGCTCCTTGGGAGCCTGCTTCTCCCTCTGCTTCTCTCTCTCTCTCTCCTTCTCTGTCTCTCATGAATAAATAAATAAAATCTTTAAAAAAAAAAAGATTTTATTTATTTATTTGAGAGAGAGAGGAGAGACACAGAGCACAAGAGGGAGGAGGGTCAGAGGGAGAAGCAGACTCCCCACCGAGCAGGGAGCCCTATGAGGGACTCAGTCATGGGACTCCAGGATCATGACCTGAGCCGAAGGCAGTCACGCAATCAACTGAGCCATCCAGGTGCCCCCCTAATCCCAAATCTATTTTTAGGTAAAGAATTAAAAAACCACTCACAGAGGCTCCTGGGTGGCTCAGTCGGTTAAGCATCTGCCTTGAGCTTAGGTCATGATCTCAAGGTCCTGGGATGGAGCCCTGTGTGGGGCTCCCTGCTCAGTGGGGAGTCTGCCTCTCCCCTTCCTCTGCCTCCTTCCCCCTGCTCATGTTCTGTCTCTCTCCTGCTCTCAAATAAATAAAATCTTAAAAAAAAAAAACCCTCACAGTTTCATTACACAGAGTGAACTTACTAACATTTTTCTGTATATTCTTCTGGATAGTCAAGACTTGCTTTCTATATGTGGTGTATATATACATTTTTATTTTACAAATTGGTGTAACACACATTATGTTTTATAATCTGCATTTTTTCCTCAATAGTTCTATGATTTGCTTCTTTCTTTGTCAATAAATGTAAATACATAATTTTAATCATTGCATAGTGTTCTGTTAATAACAGCTGGGGTGCCTGGGTGGCTCAGTCGGTTAGGCCTCTGACTCTTGATTTCTTTTTCTTTTTCTTTTTTTTGTTTTATTTATTTGACAGAGACAGTGAGTGAGGGAACACAAGCAGGGGGAGTGGGAGAGGGAGAAGCAGACTTCTGACTGAGCAGGGAGCCCGATGCGGGGCTCGATCCCAGGACCGCGGGATCGTGACCTGAGCCGAAGGCAGATGCTTAATGACTGAGCCACCCAGGCGCCCCTCTAAAATAATAAATCTTAAAAAAAAAAAAAAAAAATTACTTGCACTGAGGGCTTAACCAAATGTTAGGACTTTTTTTTTTTTTTTCATCTTCACTGCTACCACGTGATATAATTCGCAGATGAGGCAAGTGAGACACAAATTGGTTAAGTTACCTTTCCAGAGGGGTGCTTCTCCCGCTCCCACTCCCTCTGCTTGGGTTCCTCCTCTCGCTTTGTCTCTCTGTCAAATAAATAAAATCTTTGTTTAAAAAAAAATAGTTACTTTTCCAGAGCCCCACAGCTGTAAATAGCAGAACATAGATGTGTTTCTAACTATATATGGTATCTTGCTATACTATCATTTTTTTTAACATATTCCCTACTGTGAACATCTAGATGATTTTTGACCTGTTGCTGTTACAAATGACATTATGATGAACTTCCCTGTAACTGTTTATTTCATAAGGTTTTCCTTAGGTAAGTTGCTAGAAGTAGAATTGCTGAGTTAAAGGTTGTGCATTATTTTGATTTATATTGCCAAATTGTCCTCCAGGATGACTGTATAAATTTGTACCCCACCAGAGAGTCCATTTTCCCACACTTTTGCTAATAGTGGATATTATTAAACAAAATCCTTGAGTCATAGATATTTTAAACGGCTGGCGTTTGCAGACAAATCGGGTTTTTTACTTGTTTTGCCAAATTGTGTGTGTTATCGTCCGTGTTTTAATAGTTGAAAATTAAACTGACATGATACATGATAGAGCCTTAGATAAACTAGCTAGTAACCTAACTAGTAAGGGGCAGAACTGGGATTTGAAACCAGATCTTTTTTTTTTTTTAAAGATTTTATTTATTTGAGAGAGAGAGAATGAGAGATAGCACGAGAGGGAAGAGGGTCAGAGGGAGAAGCAGACTGCCTGCTGAGCAAGGAGCCCAATGTGGGACTCGATCCCGGGACTCCAGGATCATGACCTGAGCCGAAGGCAGTCGCTTAATGAACTGAGCCACCCAGGCGCCCTTTATCTTTTATTTTTTAATTTTTTATTGTTATGTTAATCACCATACATTACATCATTAGTTCTTGATGTAGTGTTCCATGATTCATTGTTTGTGCATGACACCCAGTGCTCCACGCAGACTGTGCCCTCTTTAATACCCATCACCAGGCTAACCCATCCCCCTACCCTCCTCCCCTCTAGAACCCTCAGTTTGTTTTTCAGAGTCCATCGTTTCTCATGGTTCGTCTCCCCCTCCGACTTACTCCCCTTCATTCTTCCCCTCCTGCTATCTTCTTTTTCTTTTTTCCTAACATATGTTGCATTATTTGTTTCAGAAGTACAGATCTGTGATTCCACAGTCTTGCACAATTCACAGCGCTCACCATAGCACATACCCTACCCAATGTCTATCACCCGGCCACCCCATCCCTCCCACCCCCCACCACTCCAGCAACCCTCAGTTTGTTTCCTGAGATTAAGAATTCCTCATATCAGTGAGGTCATATGATACATGTCTTTCTCTGACTTATTTCACTTAGCATAACACCCTCCAGTTCCATCCACGTCATTGCAAATGGCAAGATCTCATTCCTTTTGATGGCTGCATAATATTCCATTGTGTATATATACCACATCTTCTTTATCCATTCATCTGTCGATGGACATTTTTTTTTTTTTTTAATTTACTTTATTTGGGGTGCCTGGGTGGCTCATTCGTTAAGCATCTGCCTTCAGCTCAGGTCATGATCCCAGGGTCCTGGGATCGAGCCCCGCATCGGATTCCCTGCTCAGCGGGAAGCCTGCTTCTCCCTCTCCCACTCCCCCTGCTTGTGTTCCCTCTCTCGCTGTGTCTCTCTCTGTCAAATAAATAAATTCTAACACACACACACACACACACACACACACACACACACACACACACACACACGATTTACTTTATTTGAGGGCGCCTGGGTGGCTCAGTTGGTTAAGCGACTGCCTTCGGCTCAGGTCATGATCCTGGAGTCCCGGGATCGAGTCCCGCATCGGGCTTCCTGCTCAGCAGGGAGTCTGCTTCTCCCTCTGACCCTCTTCCCTCTCGTGCTTTCTATCTCTCGTTCTCTCTCTCTCTCAAATAAATAAATAAAATTTTTAAAAAAAAAATTTGAATTTTGGAAAAACACCATCATTTTTTTATTTATTTTATTTTATTTTATTTATTTGAGAGAAAGAGTGAGAGAGAGAGCACAAGAGGGGGTAGGGTCAGAGGGAGGAGCAGACTCCCCGCTGAGCAGGGAGCCTGATGCGGGACTCGATCCCGGGACTCCGGGATCATGACCTGAGCCGAAGGCAGTCGCTTAACCAACTGAGCCACCCAGGCGCCCTGGAAAAACACCATCATGAGTGTGACAGCTTCCCAATGCTCTTAGACTCTTCTGATGAGAGGGGTAATGATTTTAATAAATGTGATTATAGTATAATGAAATGTATTAACATTTGGAAGTTCTCACAAAACTCAGTGATACAATTTTTTCTAAATAATCAACCCATAACATAGATAAAAGATCCATTCAAAGTTAAAGATTGACCAATTGATTTTTTTTTTTAAATATTTTATTTATTTATTTGACAGAGAGAGACACAGTGAGAGAGGGAACACAAGCAGGGGGAGTGGGAGAGGGAGAAGCAGGCTTCCCGCGGAGCAGGGAGCCCGATGTGGGGCTCAATCGCAGGACCCTGGGATCCTGACCTGAGCCAAAGGCAGATGCTTGTGGACTGAACCACTCAGGTGCCCCAGACCAATGGGTTTTAATGTAGTTGAGTTTGAATAATTTATTGATACAGTTTTAGATTGCACATCATAACCTTTAAGAAACTACCACTTACTGAGTTTGGGTAGAGTGTCTAAGAAAAATATCCATAGTGATATGAAAAAGCCATTAAAACAAGAGCTAACCATGACTGGAGGGCCTTGCTAAGAGATGTATCGGAGTGCCCTCATTTCTTTGTAGGGTGTTAAATATATATAATGGTTACACTGAAGTAGTTTGTAAATACTATATTCTTGATTCTTCTGGCCTAAGAGTCATACATAGATGCTTAAGATAGACTGAAAAAGACCTGCAATCCTGTCCTCAAAGACATGCTTTTCTTGTAGGTTACCATTCCACCATTTCGTGACCCTTTGAAAAAGGCACAATATGACAAAGATGATGAAAAAAGAACTCTTCTTCAGTGTGAGACTGGTACTCAGTGCCTATTGTTATGTGATTTCATAACCCAAGAGCAATGGGAGTTGCATTTAAGGGTGCTAATCTAGGTTACTAATCTTCTTGCAGGCAAAATATATACAATGAAAGAATTCAAAGAGATTGAAAAGGCCAAACTGCATTCCAGATTCCCAAGAATTTCTAATTCAAGGCACTTTATGACTCCAAATGAGTGGCTTAAGCTGCCTACAACCTACATAGAAAGTGAATTTTGTAAAAGGAGCAGGTAATGGTTAATATAATAGAAATTATGGAACCTTTTGGAATGTGAAAACTCATGAGACAGTGGTATAAATTTTGTCATAATTCTGATTTTTTTAAAAAATTCATTTTTCAATTAAAAATCTGTAATCTTTGTTCCTGTTTTTGATGTTTCTTTTTTCTTGGACACTTTCAAGATTTTCTCTTTGCTTTTCAATAGCTAGATTATGATGTGTCTAGGTGTTTTGTTTTTTGTTTTCCCCTTTCTGTTTATCCTGCTTAGGGTTCTCTGAGATTCTTGTATCTGTGGTTTGATATCTTTCATTATTTTTTTTGGAAAATAGGCCATTATCACTTCAAATATTTCTTATGCCCTATTTTTCTTTTCTTTCTGAGACTCCAGTTGTTATTATTATTTTAAGGATTTTTATTTATTTGACAGAGAGATAGCGAGAGCAGGAACACAAGCAGGGGGAGTGGGAGAGGGAGAAGCAGGCTTCCGCTGAGCAGGGAGCCCGATGTGGGGCTTGATCCCAGGACCCTGGGATCATGACCTGAGCCGAAGGCAGACGCTTGACTGAGCCACTCAGGTGCCCCCTGAGACTCCAATTATATGTATGTTAGACCATTTGATTGTCTCATAGCTCTGTAGCTCTTAGTTTGTTCTTTTGTGTTTAAAAATTTTTTTTCTACTTATATTTCAGTTGGACAATTTCTACTAACTTATCTTTAGGTTCACTGAGCCTTTCCTCATCTGTGTCCCATCTCTCTCTCTCTCTCTCTCTCTTTTAAGATTTTATTCATTTATTTCTTATTTAGAGAGACAGAGATAGCGACAGAGAGCACAAGCAGGGAGGAGCGGGAGAAGCAGGTTCCCACTGAGCAGGGAGCCTAACGCGGGACTCGATCCCAGGACTCTGAGATCATGACCTGAGCTGAAGGCAGATGCTTAAGTGACTGGAGTCACCCAGGCGCCCCTTTGTCCCATCTCTTGATCAGTCCATCAGAGGAATTCTTTGTCTCTGATGTGATTTTTATTTCCAGCATTTCCATTTGATTTTTTTTCACATAGTTTTCACTTCTGAAATTCTCCCATTTATACAGGTTCACTTTTCCACTAGATACTTTAACATATTAGTCATAGTTATCTTAAATTCTCTGATAGTTCCCTTGCTAGGGTCATTTCTGAATGTGGCTCTATTGATTGCTTTCACTCTTGACAGTGGGTTATTTTTTGTCTTGCCCACCCCCCTGTGTCTTATAATTTTTTATTAAATGCTAGATACTTGAGGTTATTTTGTTTTGCCTTTTTTTTTTGCGTGTTTTGTCATTTTTTTTTTAAGATTTTATTTATTTATTTGAGAGAGAATGAGAGAGAGAGAGCACGAGAGGGAAGAGGGTCAGAGGGCGAAGCAGACTCCCCGCCGAGCAGGGAGCCCGATGTGGGACTCGATCCCGGGACTCCAGGATCATGACCTGAGCCGAAGGCAGTCGCTTAACCAACTGAGCCACCCAGGCGCCCTTGTCATTTTTGATTGAATACCAGGCAATAGAGGTAGAACAGTATAGACTGAGTATGTCTAGAAATAGATATCCTTTTCTTCTGTCAAGCATTAGTGTGGAGAATTGGGTTTATCTAGTCAGAAGTTGAGCTGGGTTTAGGTACTATTATTGCTATTCTTATTTTTAGTGCGCTACAGGCTTCAAATGCCTTTAGTGTTGGGCTGCTGTTACCTTGTGCTTAGGGTGGGGGCTGGCATGCCAGAAGGGTTTTCTCAAGCATTCCTTCTTTCCTTTCAGTTTTTGGCTATTTCCATAAGCCTTTGTCACAGAGGTGTGTGGGGGAGGTGTGGGGTGAGTCTTTCCCATGGCCTTGCTTCATCCCCGGAAGCATACTGCTATTGCTTCTTATTGCTAGGCTCATAGTTGGAGCAGAGGGATTTTTTCTGTTTTTCTTATCCCACCTCAGTGTTAGGCATGCTCTGTGTGCTTGGGCCTCAGGAATAGCACGTTCCTTTCCCTTCTTGTGGCAGCCAAACTCCTGTGTGGTTGTTCTTGGGTGAGTTTCCTGCCCCTCTTCCAATAGTAGCAGATCTCTGCCGGGTATAGGTGTAGGATTCTGGGTCTGAAGTGGTTTGTCTCTCCCTATGCGACGGAGGATTTTTACCTCTGTCCTTGTCCTAATAGCACTGGATCCTTGCCTTGGTCCTGGGTCTACCCCTCTTACTTCGCTGTAGGCAGACAGGTTTTGCCTTTACTTCTCTTCAGAAGCAGTTTATCTTTGCTTGTTGTCCTGGGGGCTGGGGAAGAATTTACTTCCCTCTTCCCAGCAGCTTAAGGCTTTTGCTTTGTAGTACAGATGGATCCAGGGAAATGGGTGGGGATTTGCACTTGTTTACCTGAAGGTCTTGATCTCTTCCAGTGTGTCTTTGCCACTGATGGGGCCTTTCTGTGGTCTTCTGCTCTATACCCAGTCTTTTTTGAGGAAAACAGTGTTTCCAAGACTCTATTAAATGCCACTTTAACACTTTCTCTATGAAATATTTCCATTTGGGGCAACTGGCTGGCTCATTTGGTAGAGCATGTGGCTCTTGATCTCAGGGTTGTGAGTTTGAGCCCCATGTTGGGTGTAGAGATTGCTTAAATCAATCTAAAAAATCTTAAAATATTTCCAATCCACCTCCTTATACTGGTTTGGTCCAGTCCCTCTTTTGTCCCATCACTTGACACAAATAGACTTTTTCACTTATACAGTTTGCAATTGTCTAATTGTGTGTGAAATGAATGAGTGGATGACTAGTCACTGGTTGAGTCTGTGAAACTAGTTTGGAGCGGTTTTGTGAAAAGCCTTCAATGCCAGCTTAAAAATTGGGATTTTATCATGTAGGGAATAGGGAGTCATTGAGGATAGTAATGTTGGAAACTTTAATCTGGCATATGCTGTATATGATAGATTAGAGATAAGATAGGACTGGGAGCTGGAGATCATTGAACTTTTTATAAGGACCTATGTTGTGTTGATAAAAGCCTCGGGATGGTGGCAAAAGGAATGGAAGGGGGAGATTGATGTGATAAAACAAAGGAATTTTAGATTTTGGTGGCCAGATTTGGAAGGCCAGGGAAAAGGAAGAGTCAGAGAGGAATTCAGTTGTTTTTTTGTTTGTTTGTTTTTTTAAAGATTTTTTTATTTGACAGAGTGAGCACAAGTAGGGGGAGCAGCAGAGGCAGAGGGAAAAGCAGACTTCCCGCTGAGCAGGGAGCCCGACGCGGGGCTCGACGCGGGGCTCGATCCCAGGACCCTGGGATCATGACCTGAGCTGAAGGCAGATGCTTAACGACTAAGCCACCCAGGTGCCCCTGGCTTTAGTGTTCTGCACTCTTCCTAGAGATGTCTAGGTATAGATTTCTTTTTGTTTAAGCTACTGGTATATATTGTGCTTCCTGGATCTCTGGGTTCATTTTTTTTTATTATGTTAATCACCACACATTACTCTGTGTTCATTTTTCATCAGTCATGAAAATTCACAGCAATTATCTCTTGATTGCTTTTTCTTCATTCTTTCCATTCTGCTTCTGGGCTCAAATTAGACATATATTAGACCTTATAACTTTTTATTTTTTAGAGGGAGAGAGAAGGGGAGGGGCAAACGGAGAGGGAGAGAAAATCTTTTTTTTTTTTTTTTTAAGATTTATTTATTTTAGAGTGCAGGAGCAGGGGGCAGGGCAGAGGGAGAAAGAGAGGGGAAGCAGACTCCCCACTGAGCAGGGAGCCAGATGCAGGGCTGGATCTCAGGACCAGAGATCATGACCTGAGCTGAAACCAAGAGTCGGATGCTTAACTGACTGAACTACCCAGGCATTCCGGTTTCAGTAATTCTGAAACACTCAAGAATGTATACTAGTTTGAGGGGCGCCTGGGTGGCTCAGTCGTTAAGCGTCTGCCTTCAGCTCAGGTCATGGTCTCAGGGTTCTGGGATTGAGCCCCACATTGGGCTCCCTGCTCAGCGGGAAGCCTGCTTCTCCCTCTCCCACTCCCCCTGCTTGTGTTCCTTCTCTCGCTGTGTCTCTCTCTGTCAAATAAAATTAAAAAAAAAAAGAATGTATACTAGTTTGAAATGGTCTTTTGGACAATATACATAGCAGTCAGTGTATAACAATGATTTCTGTATAAATGTAAGATAGTTTTGTTTTCAAAACATCCTCACACGTGTTATCTTGTTAAAGGTTAAAAGTGAAAATGAATTTTAACGATTGTGGTTTTGATTTGAAACCCTTGACAAGAACTCCTCATCCTGTTGAATCTCAGCAAGAAGAAAAAGCAGTAATTTACAAGTAAGTCTGTTATTCCATAGCTTTGCTTTTTTTCATTAAAGATGCTTGGCTGTGTTTCCACCCCCTGCCATCCTTTTAAGTTGTTGGAATAGTGCTGAGGCATACACCACACTCTTGTGTGACATCAGGCATCTCCCGCCTCTATGTCTGGGTGAGGTGGCAACTTGCCTCAATTTTGTCTGGTTTTAAAGAACAAATTGCTAACATTCAGAAATAACAAGCACAGACAGAAAATAAACTGCTAACAACTCAGAGTTAAAGGTTAGGAGATTTTAAATTGGAATTGGAGCAGTAAAAATGGAATTTTGGACTAGTTTTGGTGGATAGTAGGTACACCCAGTGTGAAGAGATGTTACGAGGAGAGTGGTAGTATATACTATGGTGGGTGTGACAGAGAATCATCTCAATTGCCTAGTTATGGAAATAAAGTAAGAGATTTCTCTATATAGTTACATAACATGTTTATCTGATTAAAACTAACGAGATCCCTCAGATGTTGCTGCAGGGAATGTGAAATGGTGCAGCAACTTTGGAAAATAGTTTGGCAGTTTCTCAAAATGTGAAACTTTAAGTGACCATGTGACCAGCCATTCAACTCCTACCCAGGAGAAATGGAAACATATGTCCACATAAAGACTTAGACATGAGTGATCATGGCAGTATTATTCACAATAGAGCCAAAAAGTGGAAACAACCCAAATATTCATCAGCTGGTGAAGAGATGAAAAAAAAAGTGCCATATCTATACATGGAGTATTATTTGGTGATTAAAAGGAAGAGAAGTACTGATAAATGTTATGAAACAGATGAACTTCCAAACCATTCTCCGTGAAAGAGGACAGTCTCAAAAGACCACATATTGTATGATTCTATTTATAGGAAATGTCCAGAAAGGCAGATCTATAGAGACAGGAAGTAGATTGTTGTTGGGCTAGGCCTAGGGTTGGGAATGGACAGTGATTGTAAATGAGCATGAGGTTTTTAGACTGACACAAATGTTCTAAAATTAGATCATGGTGATGGTTAGACAACTCTATACTAAAAATCATTGATTTCTGCACTTAAAATGGGCGAATTTTATGGTGTGTAAGTACACCTCAGTAAAGCTGTTGATAATAAAAAATATTAAAAAAATAACCTAGTGAAGCATAAGAAAAATGAGCTTGTATGATGTACAATTTTCTGTTCCTAAAAAGCCCCAAAGTAAGCTGCAGCACCCTTTCCTTTTTCTGAATAGGCTCAGAATTTGATGAATAAATTCAGTGTGGCAGAAGCCAGAGGGCTTTTAGAGATACTTGATGCTGCCACGGGCAGCAGAAAGAATGATTAATAACTAATTGTAGAAACAGATGACTATTAGAGATGGAGCTGGACATTGTGGACTTCTCAGTGTACTAGAGGTGTGGTTTAAGAATTGGCTGCTTTTTTTTAAAATTTTATTTTATTATGTTACGTTAATCACCATACATTACATCATTAGTTTTTGATGTAGTGATCCATGATTCATTGTTTGCATATAACACCCAGTGCTCCATTCCCTATTTAATACCCATCACCAGGCTAAGCCATCCCCCCACCCCCTCCCCTTTAGAACCCTCAGTTCGTTTCTCTGTTTTTTGAATGGGAGTTGAAATTGAGGAATGATAGAAGTATTGAAACTAAGCCCTATTCACTTGTTAGCTAAAGGCCTTAAAAGATGGAATGAGTCAGAATCATTCTTGCATCCTAGGTTTCAAAAGAGTAAGTTTCTCTACAATCCCTAACTGCCACAGACTCATGGATCTGTTTGGGTCAGGTTTTAGGAAAATAAACATTTAAATCCTATTTAATTTCTATATATGATATAAAGGGAGGGGTTTGTCCTCAAATATCTCTTCTAGCAGAGAGGGACCCAGATATGAAGGAGAATATTGCATATTAGAGTACCAGAGGCCTATATTTTAGACTAGAGGCTTAAGTCTTTGAGCTCCCCCCCTGGAAGAGAGGTGGAAGATTAGATTCCTGTCTATGAATTAGGGAAACATCCCAGTTATGGCATCAGGGGTGGAGAAAGCATATTTGTCTTTGGCAGTTAGACTTTCCTTGGGAAGATACAATGGACAACTCTGTGAGGCGGTCATTTACTCTGAAAGAGCCTCACTCAGCTGTTTGATTAAGCCACAGAGTGAATGCAAATGAAACTACTACTAAAGCTAGATAATGCTATTTATTTGGGTTTCTTTTTTATAAAAATGTGTAGATTCATATAAAACTCACCAACTTCAAAGTAAAAAAAAAAAAATGCTACAATTGAGTTTGTATTTAAGAGAATACTTTCCTTTCTGGTTCCTTCTTACAGAAACAAAGGATCATCCTTTCTGGAAAAAGAACCTCTATGTTTTCATGAGAGAAAGAGTCCAAGTCTCAAAGAGGCCAACTCTGAAGGTCATTTCGTTGACCCTCAGCAGGAGATAGAAAGGGATGGGGACCAGGAGGCGGTGAGAACTGGGAGAGTCCTATTTTGCCGTACACAAGGTAGCAATTGCTGATACCAAAATCTGAACAGCTGGGAGCTTCTCTGTATGACAGGCTTTCAGGAAGAGAGGAGGCAGTGGACTGCACCGCCTTTACCCCAAACAAAGCGAGGGAGAGAGTAGAAGAAACTGAGAAGCAGCTTCCTTTATTAAGAGGGAATGGAGAGAGTTGCCCTGGGAGTTATTACACATGGATATGCCCTCTGGTGGGTGGGTTATCAGGTTTTCCTACCTCCTTCTTAGGAATGTTAACCCTTCTGTCTCTCATCCATCTCTATCAACTCTACCATTTACCACCTATCACACCCAAGCCAGGCCCCAAATTTTGTACCCCTTAATTCAGCCAAGACAGGCAGAAAATTTTCAAAAGCATCATATACTAAATTCAATGTAGTAAAATTTTAAGAAATAAAAGCCCCCAAATTTAATGTAAAATATATAGAAATATAGGTGTTCACAGAGCACAGATTTCTCATCCTAAGATAACTACAATTAAACTTGGTGGCCATGTGACTGGTCTCGCTTAGTCTACTGCTTCCAGGTCTATGTGCCACTTTTCCCCTTCAGTTCTCTTCTCTACACCCTTGTGTCTCCCAAGGCCAGGTAGAGCCTCTCTTAGGAGTGGATTAGAAATCATTTTCTGGTTAGAAATCAATATGGGAATGGTACATTAGTCCAAATATACAGTCTTTCCATCTTCTTTTCTGTCTCTCCATTTCCCTACTCCTACCTCCAGAGGATAAGGGAGCTACTTTTTTTACTCACTTATTGAAGTTTTATTAAAACTTTATTTTGTAGTTTAACTCCTTTTACCATAATGTTTTAGTATTCTCCCATGTGCTTGCTTGCTTTCTTCCTCAAAAAATTGTTTTAAGATTTTGGTGTCCTGGGTGGCTCAGTTGGTTAAGCATCTGCCTTTGGCTTAGGTCATGATCTCAGGGTCCTGGGATCGAGCCCCGTGTGAGGCTCCCTGCTCAATGGGGAGCCTGCTTTCCCCTGTCCCTCTGCCCCTCCCCACCACTCATGCATGTTCTCTCTCAAATAAAATCTTTAAAAAAATGTGTTTTAAAGATTTTATTTATGGGCGCCTGGGTGGCTCAGTTGGTTGAGCGACTGCCTTCGGCTCGGGTCATGATCCTGGAGTCCCTGGATCGAGTCCCGCATCGGGCTCCCTGCTCGACAGGGAGTCTGCTTCTCACTCTGACCCTCCCCCCATCTCATGTGCTTTCTCTCTCATTCTCTCTCTCTGTCAAATAAATAAATAAAATCTTTAAAAAAAGATTTTATTTATTTGAGAGACTGCGAGAGAGAGCATGAGCTGGAGTAGGGAGAGGGAGAAGCAGACTCCCCACTGAGCAGGGACCCCCCCCCCGACCCCGGACACACACACACACATGGCGCTCGATCTCTGGACCTTGGAATCATGACCTGCGCCAAAGGCAGACACTTAACTGACTGAGCCACCCAGGCATCCCTCTTCCTCAAAATTTTAACAAGCACCTACTCTGAGCCAAGCAGTATTTGAGGGGCATAGTGGTAAACAAAAGAGGTAAATCTCTGATCTTGAGGAGCTTACATTTTGATGGCCAGGGAGAGACAATAAATATGTAATATGTGAGCTAGTAATAAGTGCAGTGAGAAAATAAAACAGGTAAAGTGGGGCAGGGAACTGTGTCAAGAGAACAGGTTTAAATGGATAGCAAGGAGAAAACAAAAACTAAGTCGCTTTATACCGATACCTTACAACTATATGTTATAATGGTGGTATCTTGAATTTAACCAGCCCCAAAAGGATTATTCTTTACTTTTGTATTTGTGTCCCTCTTACTACCAAAAACCTGCTTTGCCTCCAGCTTTCCCCTGGTTCAGGGGAATAGGATTATAAACCTACCAGGACCCCTCGGGACAAAAATCTAGGCGTCACCTTTGATTTCTTGCTTTTCGTCACTTCCCGTGCCTAACAGGTGCCAGCTCTGTCGCCTTTCTAACTTTCCGGTTCCTCGCTACTCTCACCATTTCAGGCCATTGTGATGCTAACTGGTCTTCCTGCTTCTGCGGTTGCCCCAGTATAATCTGTTCTCCATGTAGAAGCTATATTTGAAAAATATTAGATCCGATTTCTCCCCTACTCAAAACCTGTGAATGGCTTCCCTTCACACTTTGGAATTTATTCTAATTCCTTACCATGGTCTAAGTCCCTGGACCATTAGGCACCTGCCTCCCCTCCAGCCTCATCTGCCTTCTCTCCACGTTTGCTACGCTCCAGCCTCATCAGCCTTTTTTTTGTTTTCTGAACATACCAACTTTACTCCTCTCGCAGGCTTTTTGCTTCTGTCACTCCTTCCCCCAGGAGCACTCCTTTTCCAGATTTCTCCGTGTCTCACTCCCTTAGTTCCCCCAGACCTCGGCACCAGTATCTTCTTTGAGAAGCCTTCGCTGACTTCTCTAGTTAAAATAGTCCCCCTCATGCATTCACCTGCCCTCCCTACCCCCTTTACCTGTAAAGAGGCGGGATTCAGAACTCAGATGGAAGGCAGAGTACACGGATGTAGCCTGGTGAATTTTGTGCAGGAATGTTGTTTATTTCTGTTCACTTCATTACTCAAGTGAGAAGGTCGTCTGTCAGCTGACAGGGTGGATGACCAAGATTCAGAGGTTTGAAAAAAGGGAAGAACGGAAGGTAGTATTTTCTAAATCACCATAATCCTAGTGTGGCTCCTGACAGTCTGAAAGCAGGACCATACGGGGTCCCTCAACTCCTATCACACATCAGTGATCTACACCGCCTGTAATAGGGTTGGCTTATCCCCGAATCTCTGTATGTTTTGAATCCAGAGAGAGTGACGAGAGGCTGAGGTCGCTTAGCTCTGGCAGGACAAGGCTTTGTTGGGGGCGGGGAGGGTGTCAGCTCAGCTGGGCTGAGGAACTCTTTCTGCTCTTGTAGGCTCCCTGTTCCTATGTCACACGTCATTCTTCTTTTCTGTCACCTTCAAAAGGTTTTAGCAACCAAGGAGCACACACCCTGATCCTTGATTGGTGAGGGACACAAAAGAAGGCTGTTCCCGAGGACGTCATCTGCCTGCAGGGTTCATTCGGGGTGAGGACCAAGGAAGGCGCTCAAGCACCTGCAATAACCACTTTTTGAGTACAGCGTCTGTATGATAATTAAGAAATCACAGTACCATGTATTGACGGTTATTGCCAATGTATTTTCTGCAGAAGTTAAATATTGCCTAAAACATACAATAAAAATGATAGCTACCTTACTGAGTGCCTATCTCAATTCACTTGATCTTTCCTGAGTCAAGGTAGGTGTGTCCCCTTTGGTCAGGTACCCTTAACATCCACTGCTCGTGTTCTCCCCTCCCCCTTCTGATTTTATTTATTAGAGAGCATGAGCAGGGGGGAGAGGGAGAAGCGGGCTCCCACGGAGCAGGGAGCCCCAGGCGGGGCTCGATCCTAGGACCCTGGGATCATGACCTGAGCTGAAGGCTGACCCTTAACCGACTGAGCTACTCACGCTCCCCTTCCCATGTTTTTCTAACAGTCCTCGGAAAATTTAAGAATTCATTTTGAGTATGATTACCCACTTGCTGATTTTGATTCTGCGTGTCACCCTCTGGCTCGTGTTGAGTCTGACCCCTAGTCAGGGGAAGACACAGTAAGACCTAGAAGGAGAGCAGGATTTTGTTTTCCTTAGACAAAGGGGATGCTAAAAATCACCCCTCTCCTAATCATAGCCCTAGATCATACAGGTAAACTGTACGTTCTCTGTAGTATTAATTTACAAGACGTCAGTTTATTTGAAACAAAACATAGGGTGGTGTTGGATTAGGCAGTTGAAGGCCCCTCGTGTGCGGGCCATCTCCGCCCTGACCTCCCCCACCCTTGACGTCCCTTGCTGGGACAGGAGCTTCCAGGGAAGCGGGGCTCAGGTTTCAGCCCAGTGCTATAGTTCGGTTTTAAAAGGACGCTCCCTTTTCCCTCCCTGCAATCCTGGGTCACCAGTCACCCGCTGGCGGTGGGTTGGCGGGTTAGCCGGCTGGGTAGGGGGTGCCAGGCGCTCCCCCAAGGCGGGAAGTCTGCGGGGGCGGTGAGGGGGAGCAGGGATGGGAGTGGCAGTCAGGGACCCTGGCCGACCCCGCAGCCACACGTGGGGGAGGCATAACCACCCCTTTGGAAACTGAAGCTCCAGGGCGCCAAGGATTTCTGTTTGTTTTACTCAAGGACGGCATGGCAGAGCGGGGCATTCAAACTGCGTTCTGCGTTACGAAGTCTCTTGGATTTACTCTCTCCCCTCAGGGATCCTGTTACCTATGGCTTCCAAGAAAGCGCTCGCCTATGGCGAACATTTCAGGCCAGAAAGATTAAAATGGCCAGAGCCAGAGTCAGTTGCTTTCATGGAGGTAAAGGAACGTGGCGTTTTGGGACGTTAGTCATTTGGGCGATGGGACATAAATCCCCTGAGAACTCTTTTGTCTCAGTCACGGTTGTAGTCCCTAGAACTAGAACAGCGCCTGGCAGAGAAAAAAATTCCGTGGATGGGAATGAATGATCCACGATCAAAGGTGGCCAAGAGTGGGGTCGGACTGCACTCCCCAGTGAATTCTGATACTTAAGGGTCTGGTAAAGCAATGATTTCCTCATAAAGTTTCATTATTTTATATGATCCTATAATTTGTCTCACTGTAAAGAAAAGCTCTTGGATATTTCCTTTCTTTTGCCGTGGTAGCAGTTAAGAGTGGTGAGACCTTTAGTATTGGTGCGTGTGCACACAGAAAACGGGGGGTTTTAAAAGTGTTGCCAGAAATCTTCCTCTATTTTATGGCGAAATCACGAAGAAGGAGCTATTGAAGGCAAAAACTTTATTTCCATCAAAAAGGTGGTTCAAAAAGGGTTCAAAAGTCAGACACGTGATCAATAGTACTTATAACATTTTCTAACATTAATAGGATGGCTAAAAAAATGTGGTTTTCCAAGATGTTTGTTTAAGTAGATGTTTCTACTTCTCCAAATAAATAGACGGATTTATTTTGAGTTTATAGCATCGGGGAAAACATTTAATTATTTTATATGATTTTTCAATTGCTGTCTTTTTTTTTAAAGATTTTATTTTATTTGAGAGAGAGAGAGAGAGAGAAAGCACATGAAGGGGGGGAGGGTCAGAGGGAGGAAGCAGAATCCCTGCGGGACTCGATCCAGGGACTCCAGGATCATGACCTGAGCCGAAGGCAGTTGCTTAACCAACTGAGCCACCCAGGCGCCCCAATTGCTGTCTTAAGTAAGTCTAAGAAGGCTTTAAAGCAAGATTCTGCTTATATTATCAAGAGAGTTTTATTTTGAAGACCCGAATAGCTGTTTGAATATTACTTTAGATCCCATTTGTTGCTGTTAAATGTATGGATAAAGCTACAACTCTCCTTTTTGAGATCTCTCTTATTCACAGATGTGTTATTTGATTTGGGGTTTAGTTTGTTTTGATGCATTCACTGTGGCAGAATCAGAGATTGAATAATACAGTTTTAAGAACCTGGATCTTTTTACACAGTTCTTTTGGGTAATAGCATTTCTCTTCCAGATACTGGATTTTTATTGTTTTCCCACTTGTTCCTCCTTAGTCCTATAAGCATAAAAGCTGGAGGATCAGTTCATAGTGATCCAAATGAAAAGCCCTAAGGTGAGGTTTTAAGTGCATCAGTTTTATTCAAACTCATAATGGAAACAGCAAGTCTCTAGATGAAAGACAATCTTGGTCCTTGGCCAGGAGCTGCCACTAACTGGCTCCTTTTTACTTAAAAAGAGGTTTTGGGGGGGCCTGGGTGGCTCAGTTGTTAAGCATCTGCCTTCGGCTCAGGTCATGGTTCCAGGGTCCTGGGATCGAGCCCCGCATCGGGCTCCCTGCTCCGCGGGAAGCCTGCTTCTCCCTCTCCCACTCCCCCTGCTTGTGTTACCTCTCTCGCTGTGTCTCTCTCTGTCAAATAAATAAATAAATCTTTAAAAAAAAAAAAGGTTTTGACTTATAAAGAGACCTAGCAGAAGCCGGGAACTTCAGGGGCCCTTTAAAACATATCTAGTGAATGCCTGAAAAGAGGATTCATTTTAGAGGATCCCTTTAATTAGTAAGCTTTCTTAGTACTTCAGAAATGTGACTTAATGGTATGATGTATAAAGGATTTGTTTCAGAATAATCTGGGTGGGAGGGCTGGGGAGAGTGAGTAGGGATGTAGATGAACTACGATTGACTCAGTTGATAATTATTGAACCTGGGTGATGGGTTCACAAGAGAATCATGTTTGAAAATTTCCTTAATGAAAAGTTACAAAATATTCTTTGCAGTAACAGGCAGTGGATATACAGTAAAACTATTGGTAAAATACAATAAGTTTTGTCATTCTGGTTGGTTTCGTCAGGATTTACATCCTAATCAATTCTGTAATTTTAGGCATTAGCTAGAGAAGACATTGATGAAGCTATACATGCAATAGTATTTAGAGAAAATTACGTTGCGAAAGTAAGAGTTGGCTACAGACTGTGGGTTCTAGGTAAGCAAGAGTGGTGCATGGCCAAGAGGGTGTTACTACGTCACAGAGATTCATTTTGCTGGGAGAAGGAGCCTCCTCTGATTCCTTTATTTATACAACATAGATCTGAGATTGCACCACCTCCTTGCAGGATCACTAGGAGGTCAGGGTTCCTAGATCTGCCCGTAAGGGATCCAAGAGATTGTTCTAACTGCTTCCCCTCTTTGTTCTGGTACTGAATAGAAATTCTTTCTGACTCAAACTTATCTCTTTCTCATATGGTCCCACATCACAATGGGGCTATGTAAAACCGCCAGAAATAGTATTTAAGGGTAATGACCAATTAGTACTGAGAGTTACTATGAAATAAATAAACTTAAAGGAGATTTTTCCCCCTTTTCTTTCTTTTTTCTTTTGAGAGAGTACAAGGGGGGAGGGGCAAAAGGAAAGGGAGATAATTTTTTTTTTAAGATTGATTTATTTTTGAGAGTGTGAGTGGGAGGGGGAAGGGCAGAGGGAGAGAATCTCAAGCAGACTCCCCACTGAGCTTGGAGCCCGATGTGGGGCTGGACCTCAGGACCCTAAGATCATGACCTGAGCTGAAATCAAGAGTTGAACACTTAACCGACTAAGCCACTTAGGCACCCCAATAAACTTAAAGGAGTTTAATTTTAAAGATTGATTGATTGATTTCAGAGAGTGAATGGCGGGGAGGGGCCGTAGGAGAGAATCTTCAAGCAGACTCCCCACGGAGACCAACAAGGGGCTCCATCTCAGGACCCATGAGATCCGGATCTGAGCTGAAACCCAGAGTCAGATGCTTAACACACCCAGGTGCCCCAAAGGAGTTTTAATTTTAATGAGAGAGATTGAAATTTGGTGTTAAAATGGTACTTTAATGTTTGTATTGTAATTTATAATTTATAAAGGAAGTTCACATATACTCTCATTTGAGCATCGAAAGAGAGGATTGACCGCCTATAGATTCAGAGAGAGGTGCTGGAGCAAGTCTAGTGTACTCTACCAATTTTGTCACAGACTTTACTGAGGATGAAGCCTGGGGACATGCCATGGGTAACAGGAAAGCTTTGAAATCTTTAAAAAGAAGCAAGAGTTTCATGAGTTAGGAATGGTTTGGCTGTGATTTAACCTGAAGGCAGGTTAAATCACTTCTGGTTTAGAAGTTTTCCTGGCTTCCTCCTGCTCTATGCTCTCAGGTTCTCTTCCTGAACTTTATTATGTTCTTCAGTTATCTCATGCTAGGACCTTGCAACCCAAATATGTTGAGAGCTTAGGAGTGGGAGCAAGTGTTTTCCCCCCTTGTTCAAATGACGGTAAGTAAAAAACTTCTTAATAATTTGTTTTCCTTGTTTGTATCATTTCATTAGAGATTGGATACATATTTTCAGCATCTGGATATTTTTAAGGAAAGAAGAAAAGAGATGTTACATAAAAAATGGATTGAAAATGTTGCAGAGCCTTTTCAGCAGAGAATTACAAAGTAATTTCATACAGAGGGTCAGAAAAAATGAAACGAGAATTTTGAATATTTTTTACAGCACACCAATAAAAGGGTACTGTGAGGTTTTTTCAAATTTTATTATTTATTTATAGATTTTATTTATTTGATAAAGACAGAGAGGGAACAGAGGGAGAGGGAGAAGCAGGCTCCCCACTGAGCAGGGAGCCTGATGTGGGGCTGGATCCCAGGACCCTGAGATCATGACCTGAGCTGAAGGCAGATGCCTAATGACTGAGCCACCCAGGCGCCCTCCTCATCACTCTTATATCTGTAAGCACATTTGGTTACTTACAGCTTCAGGTGTTAGATCTGTGCTCAAGGCAGGAAGAAGGGGTAAGGAATGGTGCCAGGGTACCCTTTTCTTATACCTGATCCTTTGATATGGAAGCAGAATCCCCAGAAGCTCCTAGCAGATTTCCCCTTAGGTCCCCTTGTCCATAACTGGGTCATATCACAAATGCTAGCTAGAAGCAGGGCGAGGAAAGAGAGTGTGTGGCTTTCCAATCTCTCGAGTAGGAAGAGGGCAAGGGAGAAGGGGGTTCCATGGCTGTTGAGTTAACCAACCACTAGGCATAGGGACCACTGGTTTCTACATACTGTTCTTCAGTTTGGCTTTACAAAACAATAAAATTTTGACTGCTGCTTTTGAAGATTTATTTCTGTTTTAACTTTGAGATCAGGACCCTCTTTTGGAATTTAGATCTGTCTAGATTTCCAGGTATTGACTAGAGCTCTAGAGTAGTTTGCCTGGAATGTCAGAGTATTTATTTGCTGAGCAAAATTTTTGTATATAAACATTAAATACTTCATCCTAAGCATTCTAAGAGGCAGAGCTCAGTGTCGAAACCAAAGTGCACAGTCTTACAATTGTGCCCAGAAATGTGATTGCACAAGTATAGGATGGGGAAGCCATGAAGCCATGCCTTAGAAAAGGCATATGTTGGGGCGCCTGGGTGGCTCAGTCGGTTAAGCGTCTGCCTTCTGCTCAGGTCATGGTCTCAGGGACCTGGGATTGAGTCCCACATTGGGCTCCCTGCTCAGTGGGGAGTAGGCTTCTCCCTCTGTCTTTGCCTCCTCCCCCCACTCATGCTGTGTCTCTGTCTCTCTCAAATAAATAAATTAAATCTTAAAGGCATGTGTTGAGGTGTGAGTTAGTTTTTTTTTTTTTTTTTTAAGACTATTTGAGAGAGAGAGAGAACATGCAAGAGAGCAGGAGAGAGAGCACAAGTAGGGATTGGGAGGGGCACAGAGAGTGGGAGAAGCAGGCTCAATCCTAGGGCCCAGGATCATGACCTGAGCCAAAGGCAGACGTTCAACCGACTGAGCTCCCCAGGCACCCATAAGTGTGAGTGGTTTTAAATGACAGTAAAATCAGTGTGGGTCGACTGTGGGAGCTGACTTCTAAGAAAACATCTGAGCTCTTAGGCTGTGTGAAGGGAGGTGGGACTTGGAGTGAAGCATCCAAGTCCCCCTGTTGCTGTCTGTCACTCCTCATGCGCACTGTAGAGGGGACCCTCACCAGTTGCAGAACTTTGAGAAGAGGGTGAAGACTTGACAACACTTAGCGGGAGGAAAAGTGGGAAGAAATATGGGGTTTTTAGCCCATGGAGGAGAGGACAGGAGAGGGAATGAAAACTTTAAATATTTAAAAGGCTGGCATGTGAGTGATGGGTAGATAAATTTTGTGTTGCTTTGGGGTAGAGAGCTAGTATCTCCCCCGTCCAGTGACAAGGCAGCCTAAGGAAAAACTGTTGCTTAGAATGACCAAAGTACCTGCCTGGTGGAGCAGAAAGTTCTCAGACTAAGGCTGGTTGATTACTTCAGACTAAAGCTTGATGATTACTTCTCCCAGAAGGTGGTGGGCTCTCACTGCAGTCTAAATTACTTCTGAGGTTCCTTGAATAAATAAATAACCCTTTGAATCTATGATTTTATATAAAAGCAGAATAAAGCATTTGGCTTTTTTTGAATCTCAAAACACCTCCGTATGCAGTGATTTGCTCTTAGGTGTATTTTTTTTTCCTAAAGGAAATTGTATTTGGAGACCTTTCTGATCCTGAAGTATGCAATCCTTTTTATATGGCAAAAATAGACCCAAATTATGGAAAGTTAAGTAAGATTCATTCATTCATTCATTCATTCATTTATTCATTCTTAGAGGCTCTGGGTTTGTAGGAAAACCTAGTCATTTTAGAAGTCTTGTAATTACTCTGTATTCATTAAAAAAATCTACAGAAGGATTTCCTCTGAGTTTTAGAACAGGAACCTACAGTAATTTCACCGACTGGGGAATTTACATGTGTGTGTTCCTTCACTCCCATTCGGCAAACTGGAAGCCCAGGAGGGAGAGGAAGTGCAGTGGGGTGTGACAGGTGTCACAGTGCGGGGGGCACTGGCCCAGGAGGCAGAACTCCTTTCTGTGGAGAGTGGAAGGAGGGTTGCTGGAAAGGCTGCCCAGAGAACCAGTAGTTGGGCTGATAATGAGTCTTCACATTTCAAACTCACCGATATAGGAGTTAAAATTTTGAGATGTAGGTTCCAGCGTTTTACTCCTGTGTAGCAAAAGTAGCCACCTGGTATTAGAGGTCATTTAAAAAATATGTGTGGCTCTGAAGAGGGAAGTGGTGTTTTGTGTTTTTGTTTTGCTTCTCCCAGAAAACCAAGGCAGATCACTGTTATGAAGATAAGAAGGTTCTTTTGGCTCTGGGAAACTTGCTAGTATGGTGGTGGTCAGTCATTTTGCTGCCTTGCTTATTCAGTAACTGTTTACCCCATACATACTTTGGGGACCAGCATCGGGCTCGGTGTATGGAGGAAAGTGAAGAAGGGGAAAATGGCCCCTAGTCTAAAGCCTCTAATCAGGAATGGGGAGGAGAAGGCCACCTTTCTCTGCATCCTCTGTAGCCCAGCCTCTTGACACTCCCCACACTGAGGTTCCCTGCCCTTCTGTTCTCACAGATCCTTAAAGACCGCTTGTCAGGTCTCCCAGGAGCTCTTTTTCTGCCAGGCTGCCTAGGAGCGCTGCCTTGTGCTCCTAAAGCATCCTGAGCTGATACCTCTCATGACTAGATTGTCACTGTGTATGACTTTCTGTTCCAGACTGAGAGATCCTTGAGGACAGGAACTCATTGGGATGTGGCACAAAGTGGTGTCAGCAAATATTTATTGGCCGATGCAGTAGAACTCTTGACAGAGTATGTTGCCTCTATCTGGGTGGCCCTCCCTCCAGTCAGCCACTCCTGGCTCAGCAGAATGTCCTGTCATAAGACAGGTGACATTTACCCTTTCCCCGCTCTGTGGATTGACATTACTCATGGGTCCTTTTTCTTTGATGTACAATAAGGTCATATTTGAATGCTTCAACAGATTTAGAGAGCTTAATACAAACTGTACTAGGATCCTCAAAGTTATTTTTCTTGTACGTTATGGCCCCCTCATTTTGTGATTCCTCTGTTTAGAAGATAGCAAGAGATGCATGAAGAGAAGAGAGCTGTTATTCAGTATGAGACAGGTGCTTTGTGACCGCCGGGCTTTGTTTTTAGACACTTCTAATTGTCTGGTGATTTCCTACCCCAAGAGTGACTAGAGTTGACTTTAAGAGTGTTGATTTAGTTCTTTTTTTAATCTTCCTGTAGGAAAAGGATACACCTTAAAAGAATTTAAAGACCTAGAGAAGGCTGGGCTTTATGCCAAATTGCCCCAATTCACTTTTACTCTACATAGTGTTATTCCAAAAGAGCGGCGTAAAGCCTCTGTGAGATCTGTGATAAGCAGAACTCATAGTAAATGCAGGTAAGGATGTACTGACTAATGGATCTTTTTACTCTCTCTATAGTTTTTCCTTTTACAGAATGTCATATGGTTAGAATCACACAGTATATATATAGCCTTTTCCAGATTTTACCTTCATCCTTAATGGATGTTTTCACAGGATTAAGAATGTTAGGTTGACAGTTATTTTCCTTTAGTAGATATCTGCTGTTATTTTTTTTTTATTCTACCCAGAAGATGGTTTTAATCAACATATAGGAACTTGATAAGAAAATCCATTCACACCTGTAGGATAGAACCCCATTTAAAAAATTTTTTTCTTTAAAAGATTTTATTATTTGAGAGAGAGAGAGCACACAAGCAGGGGGGAAGGGCAGAGGGAGAGGGAGAAGCAGACCCCCCGCGGAGCAGGGCGCCCGATGCGGGACTCAATCCCAGGACGCTGGGATCATGACCTGAGCCGAAGGCAGTCGCTTAACTGACTGAGCTAGCACCCCACTTTTAAAAGCTGGCCCCGGGGCGCCTGAGTGGCTCAGTCAGTTAACTGTCTGCCTTCGGCTCACGTCATGATCCCAGAGACTGGGGATCGAGCCCCGCATCGGGCTCGCTGCTCAGCAGAGGGCCTGCTTCTCCCTCTGCCCCTCATCCTGCTCTCGTGCTCTCTCCCACTCTCTCTCTCTCAAATAAATAAATAAAATCTTAAAAAAAAAAAGATGGTCCCGGTGCATTAACCAAATTTTCCAGTAGGTGTTACTAATAGCAGATTGATCTATCTATCGTCTTCCTATGATAACCACTTCAAAGACTTTTTCCCACAGGATTTTTATTTTTTAATAAGTATTTTAATCACCCAGTGCTCATTTTGACAAGTGTACCCCTTAATCCCCATCACCTATTTAGCCCATCCTCTAACCCACCTCCCTTCTGGTAACTGTCAGTTTGTTCCCTATAGTTAAGAGTCTGTTTCTTGGGTTTGGGTTGTCTCTCTCTCTCTCTCTCTCTTTCTTTTTTCCCCCATTGCTCATTTGCTTCCTTTTTTTTTTTTTTTTAAAGATTTTATTTATTTATTTGACAGAGAGAGACACAGCGAGAGAGGGAACACAAGCAGGGGGAGTGGGAGAGGGAGAAGCAGGCTTCCCGCAGAGCAGGGAGCCCAACGCGGGGCTCGATCCCAGGACCCTGGGATCATGACCTGAGCCGAAGGCAGACGCTTAACAACTGAGCCACCCAGGCGCCCCACTCATTTGCTTCTTAAATTCCACATATGAATGAAATCGTATGGTATTTGTCTTTCTCTGACTTATTTCACTTAGCATTGTATTCTCTTGCTCCATCCATGTTATTGCAAATGGCAAGATTTCATTCTTTTTTTATGGCTGAATAATAATTCCATTACACACACACACTCTCTCTCTCTCTCTCTCTCTCTCTCTCTCTCCCTCCCTCTCCCTCCCACACACACACCCCCCCCCACATCTTCTTTATCCATTCATCTATCAATGGACACTTGAGCTGCTTTCATATCTTGGTTATAGTAATTAATGCTGCTATAAATCTGTAAATATAGGTCCCAGGACCAATGTATCCCTTTGAATTAGTGTTTTTCTATTCTTTGGGTAAATACCCACTAGTGCAATTGCTGGATCATAAGGTAGTTCTATTTTTAACTTTTTGAGGACCCTCCATACCGTTTTCCAGAGTGGCTGCACCAGTTTGCATTCCCACCAACAGTGTAAGAGGGTTTCCCTTTCTCTACATCCTTGCCAACACTTGTTTCCTGTGTTGTTATAATTTTAGCCATTCTGACAGTTGTGAGGTGACATCTCATTGTAGTTTTGATTTGCATTTCCCTGATGATAAGTGATGATGAACATCTTTCACATGTCTGTTAGTTCATCTGTATGTCAGGAATAAATCCCACTTGATTGTGGTGAATAATTTTTTTTAATGTATTGTTGGATTTGGTTTGCTAATATTTTGTTGAGGATTTTTGCCTCTATGTTCATCAGAGATATTGGCCTATAGTTCTCTTTTTTTGTGGTGCCTTTATCTGGTTTTGGTATCAGGGTATTGTTGGCTTCATAGAATGAATTTGGAAGTTCCTTATGTATTTTTCGGGATAGTTTGTTTCCTCCCCATGTTTTAAGTATATGGTGTCGTATTTTATACATCCTTTTATTTTGTGAGTTCCTTGACTGATTTTTTATGGAAATATTCATTTTTACTGCTTTTGTGTTTCCTGCCTTCACACTGTCATTTTTGGTCTTTCCACTCAAGAGTCCCCTTTAGTATTTCTTGCTGGGTTGGTTTAGTGGCCATGAACTCTTTTGGTTTTTGTTTGGGAAAAAATTTTTTTTTTTTTAATTTTTAAGTAAACTCCATGCCCAGCATGGAGCCCAACAAGGGGCTTGAACTCAGGACCCTGAGATCAAGACCTGAGTTGATGGGGCGCCTGGGTAGCTCAGTCAGTTAAGTGTCTACCGTCGGCTCAGGTCATGATCCTGGAGTTCCTGGGATTGAGCCCCGCATTGGGCTCTCTGCTCAGTGGGGAGTCTGCTTTTCCCTCTGCCCCTCACCCCACTCATGCTCTCTCTCTCTCTCAAATAAATAAATAAAAATCTTAAAAAAAAAAAAAAGACGTGAGCTGAGATCAAGAGTCAAACACTTAACCAACTGCACCACCCAGGCACCCCTGTTTGGGTAACTCTTTTCTCTCCTCCTAGCCTTGCTGGATAGAATATTCTTGGTTGCAGGTTTTTCCCATTCATCACTTTAAATATATCATGCTACTCTTTCTTGTTTGGAAGGTTTCTGCTGAAAAATTCACTGATAGCCTTATGGGGTTTCCTTTGTATGTAACTGTCTCCTTTTGTATTTCTGCTTTTAATATTTTTTCTTTATTACTGTATTTTGCCATTTTAATTACGATATGTCTTGGGGTGGATCTGCTTTTGTTGATTTTTGTTGGGGGTTCTCTGTGCCTCCTGGTTATGGATATCTGTTTCCTTCCCTAGATTAGGGAAGTTTTCAGCTATTATTTCTTCAAATAAATTTCATGCCCTTTTTTCTTTTCTTCTTGTGGGACTCCTGTACTACAAATGTTACTATGTTTGATGGAATCACTGAGTTCCCTAAGTCTCTTCTTGTTTTGCCTAATTCTTTTTTCTCTCTTTTGTTCAGCTTGATTATTTTCCATTACTCTGTCTTCTAGGTCATTAATTCATTCCTCTGCTTTTCTTTCCTGCTGTTCTTTCCATCAAGTGTGTGTTTCATTGTGTTTATTGAGCGCTTTATCTCTGCAATGTTATTCCTTATCTCTGTGTTAATGGTCTCACAGATATCTCCATTGTTTTCTCAAGTCCAGAGTGTATCCTAATGATCATTGCTTTAAATTCTCCATCAGCCATGTTACTTATCTCATTTGTTTAGATCTCTGGTTGTGGTCTTGTCCTTTTCTTTCATTTGGGACAAATTCCTCTGTCTTCTTATTTTGTCTAAGACTCTATGCCTGTTTCTGTGTGTTAGGAAAGTCAACTACATATCTTGTTCTTGAAGGTAATGGTCTTATGAAGAAGAGGTCTATAGTGCTCTGCTTTGTAGTGTCTCCTGTTCCCCAGGGCCTGGCACTTCTGGAAGTGTCTCCAGTGTGTGGTGTGTGTACTCTGCTCTTTTGTCCTGACTACTTTATCCTTCAGGCCAGTCATCTCCAGAGGCTCTCTTTGCCTGTTGTGGGCATGTTTGGTCCCTGGTCTGAATGTGGTATATTTTAGCTAGGTGGTCCCTGGTCTGCTTGTTAAATGGGACCTGCCACCACTGCCCTGGAATTGAGTCTCTGCAAAGCTCCCAGGTCGGGAGATGTGGTGTGGGTAGAAGTATGTGCCCGTCTTGTGGGGGAGATGGCCTGCTGCACTGGGACTAAGGGAGGCATGACTTCAGAAAGGGCAGTTCCACTGGAGCATGGGGTGGGGCAGAGTGTCACTGCTGCACTGGTTCCCACAGGTGGCTTTGTGCTGATTCCGAGGGGTACAGGAGGGAAATGGTGACTGCCGGTTCCTTGGTTCCTCGGTTCCTTGAGGCATCTCTCTGTGAATGCTGCCCCTCTGGGACACGCTCTGAGATGAACAGCTAATCTCCCCACTGTGTGTCCCAGGTGCTCTTCAGATCACTGTTTCCATACTATATATCTGCAGGCTGTTTCCCCTAACTTCTCTCCAAGAGCACCCCCAATGTCCTCCAAGCTCTCCCAGAGCCAAGTATACTGACTTTTAGAACTCCAGGCTTCAAGTCCCACTGCTTGCAAGAACTCATGAAATTCAGCCCCTCTTGTTTTCCAAGCCAATTACTATAGGGATTTGTTTCCCCCTGTTAGTCTGGCTCTCATCCTTCTCCACCACCATAGCTCCCTTCCCACCAGCCACGATCTGTTTCTTTCCCAGACAGTGTCTCTGCACTTCCTACCTTCTTTGATGTGGCCTCTTCTCTACCTTCAGTTGTGGAAGTTGTTCTGTCAGTCTTCAGGTTGATTTTTGGGGTATTTAGGATGATTTGATAGTTATCTAGTTGTATTTGTGGGACAAGGTGAGCCTAGAGTCTTCCTCCACCACCACCTTCCCTTTCCTCCTATCCCACTGTCTTCTGCTCTTTCAGTTGAGAACTCAGCTGCTGGTCTCACTGTTGATCCTTTGACGAAATTGTCTTTTTCTCTGGGGGCTTTAAACATTTTCTTGTTGTCTGATTCATTCTGTAGTTTTATATGATGTTTCTAAATGTGAATTTCTTTTTATTCATCCTACTTGGAATTCATAGGTTTTCTTGTACCTGTAAATAGATGTCTTTAATCAATTCTGGGTAGTTCTCATTTTCTCTTTATTACCTCTGCCATATTCTCTCTCTCCTCTCTTTCTGGTACTCCAGTTAAACATATTTTAGATTTTCTCACTATGTCACTGTATCCTCACTGTTTCTTACCATTTTTTGTGTATTTTCCATCTTTTTTTGTTACTGTATACTTGATTCTAGATATTTTACTAATTATCTCTTCAGTTGTGTCTAATAATCTCTTTTTAAACCCATCAGTGTGTTATTTTCAGGTGTTTTATTTTTATAGCTCTAGCATTTTATTTGATTCTTTTTCAGATAGATTTGGGGAAGGCTGTCTGGACTCAGGGCCTGGAGGGTCTCCATCCCCCACGGGGACCCTATCTCAATGCACTTGCCTACCACTGGGAGGAAGATGTTGAGAACAAGGTTAATTACCTACCTGCCAAGATAACAACCAGGCCTGGGAGAAAAAATCCACCAAAGATATGCTGGGATCATGCAGGAATCAGTCCATACCTTGCTACCCGAGGTTGGCAAATTCCCTCAGCAGAGAAAATAGCCAGGGATGGCCAGCTCATTCTGAAAGAGCTCTCTCCTCTCTGCAATTGTCCAATGACTTTAAAATTTGGAATTTTTTTTCTAGGGGTGGTGGTAAATATCTGCTTTTCTAGTTGTTGCAGCAGGAGTGTTGGCCTGTGCAAACTTGTAAGTTCTACACAAAAAAATAGAAGTCCTGTCATGCTCTCTTGATATTTCCTTTTTGTCTCTCACCCTGAGTTTTGCTGGATTGAACAGTGCTGCTTTCTGTTTCCCCTTCTGATTTGGAAATTTTATGTTTTATTTCTGCTTCCTTGGCTTCTTTATAAATTTTAACAGTTTTAATTTAAACATTAATAATTATACAACTCCCTATCCCCCCAGTGAGACAAAGCCTTTATTTCCTCATTCCCCCACTTTCTTGCTCCTCAGCTCCTTTAGTCTGGTGTCCTCTAGTGAATTCTCCACCTTGCAGCTAGAGAAATCTCTCTGAAGTGATCAACCCTCTCCAACTGAAAGCCCTTCAGTATTTTCCCATAACCCTTACAATAACGTCCAGGTTCTTAACATAGCACATTAGGTGCTGTCTGGACCCTGCCACCCTTTCTGTCTTCATCTACAGAATCCTTTTCCCTTAAAGAAAAGATACATGAATAAACTACAAAAATATCTGGGTCAAGTCAGCACCGTTATAACTACCTGAACTGCCACATTGGTTCTTGCCTTTGCCCCTTCTTTTCATTGCTGGCCATCCCAATCCAGGCAAGAGAGTGAAGTGTCATGTGGGGATATGCCACCACACCCTCCATCTGCCTTTTCTTACCCCAGCAAGCCCACCGAGGGAAGGGACTGTGTTGTCTTTATCGTGGTGTTCCCAGCACTTAGCTGGAATGCAGTAGAGGATGAGTAAATGCTTTTGGAAGGAAGGAAGGGAGGGAGGGAGGGAGGGAGGGAGGAAGGGAGAGAGGAAGGGAGGGAGGAAGGGAGGGAGGGAGGGAGGGAGGAAGGGAGGAAGGAAGGAAATGGAGGGAGGGAGGGAGGAAGGAAGGAAGGAAGGATATGGAGGAATGGAGGAGAAGGCTTATATGCTTAGATAGGCCTGGGCTTCCCAGGGCAGGAATGGGGGCAGCTCTGGGGAGATCCTCTGGGAGGACACACCCAGAGGTGCCTCCACATGGCTGCTCAGTAAGGTAAGAAAAGGACTTAAAGACAAGATGGCTATGTTAGTCAGAGACAGTTTAATTACAAAAAGCAGAATCCTTCTTAAGTTAAAAAAAAAGGGGGGGAGTGGGAGGAGCCTTGGTAGGTTAGAGAGCAATGGTCTGTTACAAAGCTACGGTCAGTGTTTCAGCCCATTTGGCTGCTATAACAGAATACCAGAGATTGGGGGCCTTATAAACAACAGAAATTTATTTCTCACAGTTGTGGAGGCTGGGAAGTCCAAGATCAAGGTGCTGGCAGATTCAGTATCTGGTGGGGACCCCCTTCCTGGTTGTTAGATGGCACCTTCTTGCTGTGTTCTCACATGGTAGAGGGGCAAGGGAGCTTTCTAGGGCCTCTTTTATAGGGGCACTCATTCATGAGGGCTCTGTTCTCGTGACCTAATCAGCCCCCAAAGGCCCCATGTCCTAATCCTATCACATTGGGGGTTAGGTTTCAACATATGAATTTTGGGGGGACACATTCAGACTATAGCAGTCATGAGGACAGCCAGGCTACGTAAGGACTGAGAGCCATGTCCTTTCCTCTTTGGGACTTTGTGGCTTTCATCAGAGCTTCTTTGTGAACCTGCTTCCTTTCTCTGCACACTGACTTTCTCTGCTTTCTTGTGCGTGTGCTGGAAAATGGATGCCTTGCGCCTGCCTGAGTTTCTGGTTTGAGCTCTCCGGGACTGCCTGAAAGCCGTCCTGTGCCACGTATAACTGTAGGGACGGAAGCCCTGGACCGGCTACCTCAGCCACATGCAGACAAGGGTCACACGACTGTCTGATGGTTGTGTCAGCAGACGTGTGCGTGGGGCAGACTGATTGGTGGGCAGCCACCAAGTGATGTCCACTCAGTCCTTCCTTTTCAAGAAGGGAGTACTGAGTTTGCAAAATTAATTTTCAGACAATTATTGAACAATACAATTCTGTATGGAGTTGAGATACCTTTTTTTCTGTTTTTTTTTTTTTTTGTTTGTTTGTTTTGTTTTTTGCAGTTCTGAAAAACTTACCTATTCAGGAAAGAAATGTCTACCCGATAAAGAGAACAAGACTACTGACCTGAGTCAGATTGTTTTTGAAAGGATGTTTCATTCCTCGAAGCTCAGCCAGGAGAATAAAAGGGACGAGAAGAATTGTGTGGTGAGTGGACGAGATCTGGGGGGAGCGGGGCTGGGATGGCGTACGTTTGCAGCATGCACAAGAGAGCAGACGTTGATTGTGGAATCTGAGCCACTGACAGATCCCTCCTTCTCACATGGGTTCCCCAGGGCAGAGAAGGCAGGAGCCAAGGAAAGGAGTGAAAAAGAGGAGGAAGATGAGGCTTTATTTAATGCACAAGAAATGATGGGTTTGCGTCTGGGCTTGGTGCTGCTGCATAGATGGGACAGCTTTTGGCAGGGAGCCTGGGGTCTGGAAACTCAGAAAAGGAGCCACGTTGGGGAATCCTGGACCCTGCTTTTGGGGGACAGATTGTGCCCTTATAAGATGAGAGAAACCCTGGCCATGGAGTTCTGCCCTCTAAAATTTCCTCATTTTTTTCTGGAATTTTTGCTCATCTGCCATTTTTCTACCATTTAGACATCCAACCCAGACCAGAAAAATTTGTTCTCCTTAGTGTAGTCACAATAGGTGGGAATCCTCTGAAATGAAATTTATACTAAAAATTAGGCCACATGATGGTTTAGATACATGAAAGTTATATGTAAGCATTTTCCACGCACAGGTTTCTTACCGTGAGCTCACAATCTGATCGGCACATCTTCCCTTCCATCCTCTCCCACATCCTGTATCCTAATGCCTGAGGGTGAGGATGCTTCCAGAGAAGCCTCCAGGTGCCTGGGAACTCTAAGGGGTTCATGACTGACTGGAGTGCAGTGGATCTTTGTGTTCACCAAATGCCCCATTCTCGCCTCCAGCACAAGGCGAGAGTCCCTCCGGAGGACGAGGGACTAGTTCTCTGTAGCACGAAATTCTTGTTAGATATTTTGTGACCCAGGTCCTACCCAAGCCCATTGTTTTCCCCGGTCTCTCAGAGAGAAACGGATTTTCCTTATATGGTTAAGTTTCCATACCACTCTCCTCAGCAATTAAAAAAAATTTTTTTTTGAAAGATTTTATTTATTAGAGAGAGAGAGAGGAGAGAGCGCACAAGCAGGGGGAGTGGGAGAGGGAGAAGCAGGCTTCCCGCCGAGCAGGGAGCCCGATGCAGGGCTCGACCCCAGGACCCCGGATCATGACCCAAGCGGAAGGCAGCTGCTTAACCAACTGAGCTACCCAGGCGCCCCCTTCAGCAATTTCTTCTGGGAATAATTCTGAGAGCCAAGTCCCTTAGTCGGTTCTGAACGGGACAGTGGTCAGCTCTGCCCTCCTGGCAGGGGAGCCTGACTGCTGTTGCCACAAGAGGCAAAAACGGAGTGTGTTTTACACACAACAGAAATTTATTTCTTGCTCAGGTGCCAGAACAGGGCGGGTTGGCAGGCTGTCCCTCTTCCATGCAGTCTCTGGGACTCTGGCTGAGGGAACCTTTGTCATCTTCACTGCCCAGATTCCAAGGTTGCTCTGGGGAACTCATTCCTGTCCACCTGAAAAGGGAAGAGGTCATGGAGGAGTGCTGCCTTGGGAGGGTGGGTGGGCCAGGTCTCGCATGTTCCAACCGGGGAGGACAGTCACATGGCTGTCCCTAACCTTGGGGGGTAGTGTGCTGGGAAAAGCAGCCTCTTGCCGCTCTGAGCACAGTGGCAGAGAGAGCAAGTGTTTTGTGGACAGCTGGTCATCTCTGTCCCACCACAGAAAGGTTGGTACCGTGTGGAGTCCAAAGACATAGGACTTGAGCATTTGCAGAAGCCAGAGAGCAGGGGAGAGGCGAGGAGAGGGCTGCCTGGAAGGTCTCAGCTCAGGCAGGAGGGTCGAGTGTTGGGGGGGATCCTCCGAGGCCTTCCTCCCTTCCCCCGTCAGCCCCTCTCCCTCCACTCAGCGCTTCCCTCTGTTCATAGGTGGGAGGAAGCAGACAGCACAGACCGCGATCCTGGGCGGCTGGGGACGGCCCGTGGAAAGGAGAGTGACGACGGCAGAGGCCCTGGGGCAGCACCGGGCCTCCCTGTAGCTGCGGCGCGGGTGGGGCTGCCAGGAGCCGTGCCATCTGCAGGGAGGCCACTGGCAATAAAGCTTCGCTGAGCTTTGGTTTGTAGCGTCTGCGCCACAGTGAAAATGCTGCCGACAGGTTTTTCTGTCTCCAGATGTGTAAGATAGGGCAAGAAATAAGCACATCATAATAGTTACCGTTTATGGAGCTCCTGTTGTGAACTAGGTGAGGTATTTTATATTCATGTAAAAGTCTTCACAGCAAGATAGTAGTATTATCCCCCGTTACATGAAGCTCAGAGGGGTTCAGTAACTTGTTCAAGGTCGGCGTGGCAGCGTTCTCGATTCCAAGTCCAGGCCCTCTGGTGCCAAAGTACTGGTCTGATCACCAGAGCACACTCCCTCCTCACCCCTGTAATGTGCGTCAAACTGCTCAGGATCTGGGTCCCTTTCAGAGGGTGGTTATCCTGCTGGTGTGCCACAGCATCCTGATCCTGAAGAGCTCGGGGGTGGGGTGGGCGTTGCTGGGCATCCCTCGGGTCTGCTCAGTCCTTCCCCGGGGGATGCAAGTAGCCTAAAGGCACACTCCGTTCCCTCACCCTTCAGAAAATCAAGCTCACGTTTCAGTCAGGAGAGAACTTGATTTTTTCAGGGGCAGGTCAAAGCAGGTGACTGGTGTTGCTGAGAGTACAGACATTGAATGTCCTCTGAAGTTTCAGAGAAGTTGTCTGACTCACATCCTCCAGGCTCCTCTGTCCTGAATCTGAAGAGAACCCGGACATATGTAGACAAGGAGAAATGGCTCTAGCCACAGTTCATCCCAGTGAGAATTCAAGTCCTCACCATCTTGAGAAAAGGATTATTCTGTAGCTCCGGTCACAAGTAACCCCAGGACTGGTTTTAAACCAGCACGACCCATCAGTGACAGTCTCAGGCTTTGGAAGTCCAGTCAGACGCAGACTTGGACATCGGCCCATACCTGCCTCCAAAACCAACACAAAACTTGCTTCAAGACCCTAGGGGAGACCCTCTAGGAGATAAGCGAGGCTGTGCCTGACTGGCCAAACTTTTCCTTAATTAATATATCCAGTTGTTTTGGTTTCACATGTTGAGTGGCATCTCTTCTGTTGACACTGGGCCATATTTCTTTTACATCTAAGTTTTAACAAGTCAGCGTCCAGGATTAATACCTGGAATTATGATTTTTTTTTTTACTTGAATATTCTGAATTCTGTTTTCCAGCCTTTCTTTGCCCAGTGATTATGTTTAGACAGAAATGGGGACTGGGGTGGAGGGACGTCTGAATGTTTCTTGTTCTTCCAGCTCCCTGAGAATCAGGGTACCTGCAGCCTGTGTGGTTCTTTCCAAAAGACCACTCTTTCCAGCTGTGCTCATTAACCCAGGGATTTAGTGGGTAAGAACTTATTTTTGTCAATGTTATGTTCAAAACAAATTGCATACTTCAAAATCCAGAGCCCAAACAAGCAGCTCGGACGGTGTAGATGTGGCTCTGACAGGACGGGGGAGGGGAGAGAGAGGTGCTGCTGGAGCTGGAGGCCGAGCGCCTGCTGAGGATGTGTAATGTCTGTTCTAAGTTACCTCTCAGGTTCCTGCTCACCTGGCAAGCAGAAGGACTCAAAGGGTCTTGCTCCCACAGAGGTCAGCAGTCTCACCACCAAAGATAACCAAGCCCCAGAAACAGTAGGTAAACGTGCCAGAGTCCTAGAGCAAGTGAGAGTCAAGACGAGGCTGCAGGGTCTCCTAGGCACTCCCCCTCCCCATGCTGCCCTTGGTTTTTGCCGCCCTCGCAGAAAGGAAATTTGGTTTCATTACCAGCAACCCCTGAACTTACCTTTTATTTTTATATTTTTTAAAGATTTTATTTATTTGAGAGAGAGAGAGCAAGCGAGAGAGCACAAGCAGGGGGAGCGGGAGAAGCAGGCTCCCCGCCGAGCAGGGAGCCCGATGCAGGGCTTGTTCCCAGGACCCCGGGATCATGACCTGAGCCAAAGGCAGACGCTTAACGACTGAGCCACGCAAGCATCCTGAACTTACCTTTTAAGAGCCTTTCAGGTGGAAATTAAATCAGTCAAACTTTGAAAGAAGTTACATTCATAAACTTATATTTTTATTCTTTCTGTACATATTGGCAATGATAAAGCTTAAAGATGCACGTCCTATGAAATAGGCAAAATGAGGAATTTACATAAATAATTTATACTTCAGAAAATTAAAGTTGAAAAATATTTCCATATCATTAGAGTTCACAGTATTTAAAGTAAATCAAGCTTTCCCCTTTACATTTCAAACTCTATTGTCTCAGCAGAGATGATAAAATCTAATCGGGAATAAAATGATCAAGTCTGTGTTTTCATTCAGTGCACAGAGTAGACAGACTTCAGCCTGAGGCTGTGCCCACACTCCCTGGTCCTCCACCTCCTGAGCGCCTGTGGCCCGACACAGGCCTCCGGCAACGGGGTACTACAGCATCACCAGAACCACCTGCCCTGGGCACGTTCGACCAGGGGTAGCGTCTGGTGTTCTGATGCCTCATTTCCACTTAATACTTTTTATAGCCCTGAAAATGGAAACCCTGGCATCTAAAAACAGCCAAAGATGTTAACACTAATACAAGGCACTGTGCTATGGGTTTGGTTTATTTATAGGAAAGATCATGTTTGCATAGATTGCTAGCAATTTAGTGTGCAAGAAAATAGCCCCGGCGTGCGTGGCCCACGATGGATGAAGCCGGCGGTGCTCCTTCGGCCCAGGTGCAGCACCGTCCATCTGGCTCTAGCCCCAGCCTTTTGGGCAGATCCCTGAGGTCCCTACAGGAGAGTTTTTTGCTCAAAAAGCTGTAGGTCAAAGCGGACCCAGACCTCCCCCGTGGGGACCTCATGCAGCAGGAGTCGGCGGGTTGTGGGGCCTTTGCTTTCCTGTTCTGTGCGAATTTTTGCCACTGGAACCTCAGTACGACCCAGGAAATCTGGTGAACAGACATGCGAGAGTCAAAGTTTCTTCTTTATAAAAGCCGTTAAAGAAAACTACCCCAGGAAGAGTGTCTGAAGACATTCTTAAAACTTTCAGATCCAGCTTAACGGCTGTTACTGTGACTGGATGCGTGCAGAATGAGGGGTGTGCAGGAGGGAAACTGCCTCATTGGGCTCCAGAGAATGGGTCAGCCACTCAGGAGGTGCTGGGAGGGACTGGGGTCCGTAATGGAAATACCCTGGAGGCCACCCTTTGCCCCTGAGAGGGCACCCCCTCCCTAGCCTTGCTTCCCACGGGAGCTGCGGGTGCCCACGGGCCCGTGTCCTTTTCCTTAGGTGTCACGGGGTAAAAATAAAGCCAAGTGCCCTGGACCTAGACCCCAAATTCTAGAGTACTGGGGAAACTTCAGATTCCCTGGTCGAGTTATACTTTACCATCTGGTGAAAACTGGTCTCTGTCAAACATGGTGAGACACAGCACGTCTTGGTAGAGATCCTTAATAAAGAACTGGCAGTTAAAA